GGACACTCTTTTTTTGCTTCTGGCACCTTACGAATAGCATATGGAATTTTTTTGGAGAAGCCATGTGATAGCCCTTGCAAAGAGCTTTGAAATGAGCCTAAACTTGTTTATGAAATGTTTCATGGTAAGAAGTTATGAATGAAAAACTTTCGAAATCGTCCCAAGTAGCCCTGGTTGACAGTACATTCGACATGCTTTAAACATTTTAAAATGAAGTTTTATTTCTAGCGTCCTAGATTACCCCACTCCCAGGGGTAATTCCGTATGCTTTTTTTGCGTCTGGCACCTTATGAATAGCATATGCAATTTTTTGGAGATGCTATTTGATAGCCCTCACAAAGAACTATAAAATGAGCCCAAACTTGTTTATGAAATGTTTCATGGTAAGAAGTTATTAACAAAACAAGCTCAAAACCATCCCTTTTACCCTTTTTGATGATACATTTTCTGATAATGAGCTAACGTGATAGCTGGTTTATTCATAGCAGTCAATGAATAAGGGAGTCAACACTGTGAGTGGTTTACTAGGAAATATATTGCTTGCCACTATCATGGTGGCAGTCATCCAAAATTTTTGTTTACCTTATGTTTAGATTTATTCGGAAATTTAATCCCATTCACCTTTCATTTTTGCAACCTAAGAGGCTAAAATACCCCACTTTGCTAGAATTTGAAATTCAGGTTGTAATTTTGATTGTATACATGTTTTAATTGATTTAATAGTTATATCACATTACTGTAGCAACTGCTGCGATCATTGTTTATTCTTTATTTTAGGCATTGCTGACAAATACAACTGCTTTAATTTTTAGGTTACAATGAATTTTGTCATTATTGATTTCAGTGGACAAATTCTAATCAAGCTACAAGTTCAATTTGTGCATGCCACAGAGCAGCTAAAAGCTGTCATAAGTAGGTACATATATAAACCTAGATATGATTGTTTGAATTTCTACACAAACATGCTGTTAGCACTGTATGTGAGTGCCCCCTTTTGAATTTTCTCCTTATCATGGATATATCCCATTTGTAAATATATATATATATATATTATGTAGGTATATCTCATTGTATATATATTTTTCAGGCTGGCCCAAGCTCAAGTGGAAGCTCAGAAAAAATTATGGAGTTCAAGGATCGGTTGGCTATACTACGAGCCAAAAGAGTAAGATTCATTTCTCAAATCAACAATATCATATTTTAGAAATAGTAAAGTTTGCTGACAAAAAAATTGCAATCAATTATCATCAAATGTTTTATGCCTTGTGTAATCATCTGAATTTTGTGGCCTGTAAATGAATTTTCATGGCAGCTGGTGCTGGATTTTATGTAAAGATATCTTTTGCACACCAGAGGGCACTTTACCATAACATTTAGTAGTGAACTGAGATGTATGGTACATCAGAGATCCAGAAAGATGGAAGGCCTCAATTGCTTCCAAGTCCACTTCAGCTTCTCTCAAGTGATTGTAGCAGGGAAAAAGTACCTAGCTCATAAATTCTTATGAGAGATTTTATAGAATAATCATTGAGCAAAGTTTTTTCATGTTTCTACTTCAGGATAATGGAAGCAAAACTTGAAGTTCATGCTATTTGTGTAATGTCTAGAGTTTTATTAAATTGAAAAAATTCATTAATGATTCTAAAAATTCACCTCCAGACTGAAGCCAAGGCTCTGAATAAGTCTGAAGTGCTGGAAGAAGATCGTATCAAAAACTTGCCCAAGAACCACACATTGAAGCAGCAGCGGCTTCAGAAGGAGCTGGAAGAGGAACAGCTAAAGCAGCGCATGAAGGAGGAGGTGAGCTCTTTACACAGGGGTCTTCTATCTATCAATATGCTCTCCATGCTTGCGCGAAGGCCGAAATGTTTCTGGATGGAATGTGATCATTCAAAATGATATATATTTCATTCGTTACTGCTGTCAGTTTAATCTAGTCAACTTCCAAGCTGCCAGTGCAGATCTTCAGGTAAAACCTTGTTATGCAGCATGCAATTGCCAATCCACAAAGTATGCAGGGTTCAGACTTGTTCACTGTGTATTAATTTTAAAATTTGCATTTATGAGTAAAAGTTTTAAGTACTGTTGCAATTCTAGCCTAGCTATGGTAGCACTTTATTTTATCTCCACGTGCTGTTTTAATATCAGACTTGATCATTTAAATATCATGTCCCTGTTACAGGGTGCCGACTATGACCGTGAACGACTACTAACCGTTGGGGCTGATGACGCAGAGCGCTGGGAACGCAAGAAGCGCAAGAAGAATCCTGACGTGGGCTTTTCATCGTATGAAGATGCCACGTTTCGTCAGTATAACCGCTTAAGTAAGGGCATTAAGATGGACAATGACAGATATGAGAGGGAGAAGCAGGTTATGGGTGAAGAGGCGTTCTATGCTTCCAGAGGAACCATTAATATTGGACTACATAAAGATACTCCTGATGATATTGAAAACATGGTACAGGACTTGGAGAAACAAGTGGCCAAGAGAGATAAGTATTCCAGAAGGAGGATGTACGATGACGATAACGATATCAACTATATCAACGAAAGAAACATGAAGTTCAACAAGAAACTTGAGCGCTTTTATGGTGCTTATACCGAAGAAATCAAGCAAAATCTGGAACGTGGAACTGCCGTGTAAGGACATCTTTAATTTTATGTTTTATTGTTTCGTTCCGTGCTAAAGCTGTCTATAGTTCATCATGTACTGAAAGTAAAATAATTTTATTTAATGAAAGGACAATCGATTACATCAGGCCTCTACCTTACATTTTTTCTTATTCAAATTTTCGTGTTCTTCAAACGTCTTCATTCGTTGTGTTTGTTTTCCCCACTAATGTCATGGGGCAATGGACGTACTCGGTCCTATTTAACAACAAAGACAAACGATATCAATTGCTTTGAATAAGACGACCAGTTAGTTGGTATCATCATTCACCAATTGCTATTTTTATGCTCCCCTTCATGTATGTATAAAATAATATGAGAATTGGAGAACTTTTACGAAATATATTCTGTTCGCGCATTTTATCGTAAAGGCGTCGTCAAGTTTGCTGAGTATATTGCATCGGTGAAGCTGGATTCATAATTTTGCCTGAAAAACTCAATCGTCTACTATGCTTATTTTTCCTCCTTGTATTATGAAGTGTCATGTTAATCTGATCCAACACAATGACGTTTTTATATGATGACATCGAAACGCGAAGAAGATTGAATTGTTGATCCTGGGAGGCTGGGACCAAGAAATAAAACTGATTATTCGTGTTATGTTTCTTCAAACTGAACTTTCTAATCTCGCCAGTTGAACTAAAATTTGCAATTACTGAAGTATTCGTGTGTACTTTTGCCAATACTAAGCAAAGAAGAAATATCTAAATCTTCAGATGCTTGTGGAAGGGAAACAACTTGATCGCACTTGATAATTTTAATACTAACCTCAACAATGACAGAGATCAAATTTAATAACATTTTACGAGTGCTTTCGCGCTCATATCAATAGTGAGCACTCAATGTTTTCTTTTTATCAATTCTGCTACGTCCTGTAAATTTCCACAGCAGTTCTTGTCCACTCTCAGACCAGGTGCACCTGGCACCTGGTCTGGTGCTGTTCTACCAAAAAATTCGCGTAAGTACACGTAGTAGTCGATTTCTCGTCTGTGATTGGTGGGATTAACTTGAAAAGCCATCAGTGATTGGTGGTACGGCTCATGATTATGCAGATGCAACCTTCCGGCTGTAGTACTTACACGTTTGACAATTGAAGAAGCGTAGGAAGAGCTACAGAGAGACATTAAACAACATTGAACTATTAGCAAATGAAATAGGAATATAGCGAAATATTACCTGTATTATGGAGACGTACACCCTCAATGAGTTTAATCGCCTTGGCATTATACTAATTCTAATTGATGCGCATATGTTCATGCTTTGTAAACTCTACATTTTGTCTTTTTTAGCATTAGTGGAACTATTACTATTGGTTCCTCAACACAGCATCTTTTTTTTTACCTGGTAGCCCTTGTTTTGCAGTATGGAGCACATACCGCCCGGCACACCGTTGCTCAGATGCCCATGACACTTGGTGTCCACATATAAAAATCAGTCGGATAATGAATTTGAAAAAAAAAAAATTCGCTCCACCCTATTGCACAGCCATGGTGACGAGACTGGCTTGAACAGCGGTTTTGGACTTGCGGCGACATGGCTTTAACCAGTTAAGAACTGGTGTGGCTTGCGGCGTTCCTTGCGTGGTCTGAAACATAACGTTGCGATGTCAGCGCCTAAAGAGTAGGCCAGGGCCAATACTTTCAAACAAAATTAAGAGATCGTAAGTTCATCAGCCAATCATTGACGGACTTTCAAGCAAAATCTACCAATCATAGACAAGAAAATAGAGCGTAAGTTCTTACGTTCACTTAGCGAGTTTTGAAAGTATGGCCCCGCTGATGTGGCCTGTCGCCGATTCTTGAACTTTTCATGACTTGTTCACATAAAATCTAAAATCGTGTCATTTGACCGGATCTTTTCAAGACTGACGATAGTTTGCAATAGCTACTAGACTTCTACCGGGTTCGATATGGTGCTAGGCATTTCAAGTCTGAACATATATTTCTCCATAGCTTTATCTAGTCTTCTTGAACGCGTTCATACTCTGAGCGCCAACGATGTAATAGAATAGAAGTGTCGGCGCTGAAGAAATAGGCCCATGGCCTGTTGCGCATGGCGGTGATTCTGAGGGAAGTTGGCGATTGAGGGAAGTTTGAGGGTAACTGAGGGATCTCACTGAAGATTGAGGGATACTAGTCGTTTAATATTGCTCTGAAGATTTTGTATTTGACTGAGGCTTCCCTAAATACTGGTAGGGTAATGGGAGGATGCAGGTCCGAGTTTTTCGTGTTTATTTAGTTGAATGTCGACATGTACAGTATTATTGGCAATAATATACTGGCGATGATTATTTATCTTAGTTATTTGTGAAGTTATCGGTCGAAGTTCACAAGTATCGTCGTATTTACGACATTAACTATGCGACAAGGAACAGCTTAACAACTAATAATCTCAAAGAAATTATGATATCTTTCCGCTTGGAGATTATACACTATAATATTATCTAGTCACTACAATTCGAAGCGAGAAGAAATGTTATGTTGTCGCGTGGACAAGTTGCAGCGCATTTTTTTTAAAATTTATAGCCGTGGCCCCTGGTGTTTGTTCTTGTTTGATAGCTTTAGGCTAAGTGTAACTGTTCAAGTTCAGACTAAGCCTACATTCTGCAGCTAATTTAACCCTCTACCGCCATGTGTCACTCTCCGGGAACATAATTTACAATTTCATATATACCTAAAACTATTGAGTGTAGCAAGTTGAGGACGTCTGTTACGCAACAGAGAACATTTTAAAGTTGCCGTACGTGACGGCAGCCATCAGTGCGTCATTTTGCGCTCACTAAAACGTATCATTTTTGGGAAGTAGGCTTGTGACAATATTGCTCCGGTTACTCATAACAGGCGGTAGAGGGTTAAGCCACTGGCAACCTAAATCCACAATTATCACGTACCTCTGGATTGCGTGCCATGTGTCCAGTCAGGAGCTGCTAAATGAAACTGCAGCAAGCCCCGTAGTGCGTCGTTACGCTGGACTGGTTCTATGTGCTCAGTTGCTGGCAACCTAACTCAGTAATCAGCCATTACTGCATAGAGACCCCTAGACTAGGTGTGATGTGCGTTGTGGCCGGCTTGAAGTGCGCGCTATGTGTTCAGTCAGTTGCTACATTTAATGGCATGAAGCACCTTGACGTGTAGTCCAAACGGCGTAGTTTATCCTTGACTGCGTTTTTGAGTGTTCACTAGCAACCTAAATCAGTTACTAGTGGCTGAACCTGTTTAATCACTAGGAACCCGAGCCCCGAACTACGTAGTTAACCCCGGACTGCGTGCCATGTACTCACTTACAACTTCAAATTCGTACCGTGTCCCGTACTGCATATTTACCCGTTACCTGCGTGTCACTATCTGCCTAAATCTAAATCCACACTAAACCGTACAAATGCGCATGTAATACTCTATCGAAGTATTTGAATGTATTACATACGTCATACTTTGGGACATAGGGATTATTTGTAATTCTGGGGTGCGTGGGAATGTTGTGCAACTTGCAACTTAAATTATATCAACTATTGAGTGTAGACACCTCAGGACGTTTGTACGCAACAGAGAACATTTTAAAATTGTCTTACGTGGCGTCAACCATCAGTGCAAGTCATTTTGCGCTCCTTAGAACGTATTCTTTTTGGGAAGTATATAGGCTTGTTACAATTGACAGTTGAGTTCTGGCAGTGATCGAGGGCGCACGTGCGTGTTTGCGGGTCCCAACTTTCTCACTTTTTACTATGCCGGTTTGACTTATCTCTCGAATTTTGTACCGAAACTATTTCAGTGAAAGGTTAAATTTTAGTGCAGTTCAGTCAAAATTGTGCGAATAGTGAGAAAAACGGCTAGTACAAGTGTTTTATTCCCGACAAATGTCAGTGCATGAATCGAGGGCAAGTTTGGTAACTTGTTGGGAACCCTCGGCGACCGCCTGTCACGGAGAACAATCGGTGCCTTGAGTACGCTCAGGCCTCGCCTTCCTACAGGCCTCCTACGCCTCGCCTGGGTGTATACAGGTTTTCAAGATCTTCTAACGTCGCAAGCGACAAAATAAATAATAAATTGGATAGTCAACTTTTGGGAAACTTGAAGTTTTGAGTGAAATAAAGAAAATAATTAGTGTAAATCCGTTTTGTATCCTTGGCGACTGACTAATTATTATATCAAGATCTTTTGGAGTCGGATCAAAGCAGAAGAGTTTCAACTCGTGAACACCGACGTTGCGAACTGAGGTCGGGTAGATCCTGCTTAGAAATTCAAGATTCAACACATGAGCATTCAACTGACGAAAGCAGAATAAAATTGGGACGAAGAACCTTCGGAGTCAGTTTAATTTGGATACTGAAGTTTAGGATGGATCGCTTTATTACAACAAGACAAAACGCGGAAGTAACTTCTCCACGCGACAAAATTTCTTCTCGCTTCGAATCACCGACATGTGGAACAGCCTCCCCGATGACATCATTGGCGCTCCAAGTATGAACGCGTTCAAGAACAGACTAGATAAAGCTATGGAAAAATATATGTTCAGACTTGAAATGCCTAGCTCCTAATCGAAGCCGGTGGAAGTCTAGTAGCTACTTCAAACTATCGTCAGTCATGAAAAGATCCGGTCAAATGACACGATTTTAGATCTTCTGTGAACAAGGCACGAAAAGGAAAAGAATCGGCGACAGGCCACATCAGGCCTACACTTCAGCGCCGACATCACTATGTTATGTTAATAGTGCTCCGGTTACTCATGTCAGGCGGTAGAGGGTTAAGAGATGAATTATTTATTGGTGGCCAACGGCTGCGCGTCCGTTGGGACTCCATGAGCTAAAATTTTTAATTAATAAATAGTGTCCGAGTTCTAGGGATTTGATTGATGAGTACCTAAATTGAAAACATTCTGGTCTGCGGAAATCAGATAACTTTTACCCGAGATTAGCCTATAACGGCGTTTTTTCAAGGTTTAATTAGTTCAATACATTGAAGAGCTTGAGAGTTTTTATGGTGTTGGCTGAAATCACGATTAGGTACGAATTCTCTGCACATAATATCTGGATTATGGACGAAACTGGAACGAAGTTTTTTTCTGATCAACTAAATATATTTTTTCTAGTCAAGGATACATTTTTTCATGTCAAGACGAATTTTTTATCGCAAAGATATCTTTTTTCAAGTCAAGGATATATAATGTTATGTCAATGAAATATTTTTCTTCACGTCAGTGATAGATTTTTTAAGCCAAGAGTATATTTTTTCAAGTTATGGATATGATTTTTGAGTTGTTAATAAATGAATGAATGTCATATTTTTTATTACATTTTTGTTATTTTTAACTGTAAAGTGTTGTTTTATCATTTTTAAACGAAAAATATGCAATTGTGGTAAAGGGACCAAGGGTGGGCGCCTTGCCCCAAGCCCATGGGCCCATTGCCCCAGGGGTGAGGCAATGGGCCCATTTTGGCACTTTTTACAAAATAGTGTTTCATTAAAAATTGAATAACTCTATAGGCGTCTAATTCACATCATACATTCCTCATTAGTTGCACCTTTAAACAAAACAAAGAACCACCTCGTATCAATTAAAACTTCATCAAAATTTTAGTTTAAAAAAAGTGGGGGGCGCGCTGCCCCACGTTACCCTATCATCCAACAATTTAAAGCAAGTTGTGATGCGTTGTTTTTTTAGAGATTTTATGACTTGAATTGCACGAAGTACTTGATGCCATTGAAATTACAGATTTTGTTTGCAAGCTGTAATTTCTTAAACGAAACTTTATATTTTTCTTTCACAGTTGTCAAAGCAGGCTGCTTATCATGTTTCGCAACTCCAGAAAACTTAAGTCCAAATTTCCGTTATTTAACTCCCATGACTGCATTCCTTTCTTTATCTCCTTGTATTAATACCACCAACAAAACTAACTAATTACTGCATTATTATTATGAAGTTCGATATGCTACAACTAAAACGGAGTAATTTGTTTGTGCAACAGCATGACTTCGATGGCCTAAGTCTCATCTGCGGCACAAGATAGGCAGGTGTCAATAAATTCTTGGCATTTAGTTTTAATCTGATTGACCACGTAATTTTTTGGTGTCGTATTTCGTTTTGAAACAATTGTCTAAATGCACGACGAAAACGTACACTTGACAGAATTTTCCACTTGGTGACTTGGACATAGAAAGGTAAAACCCTATGAATGTCTAACATGCATTTCAATAACGAAGTCCCTCATGTAAATGAATCATACGTTAACATATTTATGTATTAATTATATAATTGTACTATGTTCACAAATAGCTTAGCGTATTCATCAACATCTCAACTACTCTCATTCTCCACGAGATGTGCGTGGTAATTCGCATCACAATATCGTAACATTATTATGGCTATTAACGTTGAACGCTTAAGTCACGTCAGAGCCGCGCCTCTCGGTTGAATATAATTGATGAGAGTTAATAGGTAATTTGCGCTTGAACACTCTCATGCCTCGCGCTCTTCCTGGCCTCGGAGTTCTTCGCGGGGTTCGTAGCTGGTTCTCAGTGAGCTCTTCGATGGATGGCACGACTCCTAGAAAATGTAGCATTTCAAGCGCGTTGGTCAAGGATGCCAAGGTAGGATCATGAGCAGTCCTGCTGCCTTCCGATCCTGTAACCTTCCTCAAGGCTTCGTTTTCTTCATTTCCTACGGGATCACTGACATCGTTGGGCACTACTGAAATTTCAGAGTCCGGCTCGTCCTGAGGTGAGTTCTGTGAATCGAGCGAAAAACTAGAAGTTAGTCTGAAAAGTTGCCGTACTCCCAGCCTTCCTCGAGGCCCACATTGACCTCCTGCCAAGTCTGCTGTTGTCCAGGCCACAGCCTCGGTTGTCTTCGCCAGGAAACTAACGTTAGGGTCTTGGCCTGCCTTGTGCACGTCGCAGGGGCTGTGGTAGCACTGGCGTAACCTGCCCCTGAAGGGACCTGGAAATCGCAATTTATTGAGCTTGACATCGAAAACTTTGTTGTCAAGGCTTACTATGTTAGAGAACCCAGGGAAAAATATTGCTCAAGAAAATTTAAATGCATTGAGTGACGGAGTAATGAGCGCTCTATCTGATAGGGTAAATGAAATAATGATGGCGATATACTTCACCTTTTTAAATTGAAATGTTTACATTCTTTAGTGAAGTCGAACGTCACACTCATAATTTAATCTAAAATAATAGGTAAATCGCTTTAACGCAACATTTAAATCACTGTAGGCCATTTACCTGTGTCTGTAATGAGGACGGCAGGGATAGTAACCTTCAAACCATTTCCATCTTCACCATTTGGGTACCAAAACCTGACGTGATCTGACCGCAAGACATTGAAGTGCTTCTTCAGTCCCATCACGCTCGGCATCTGCGGCCCCAGGCTGTCCACTGCCAACGCCTCAAGTCGGAACTCTGGCGCGTCTAGTCGAGAAAAGTACGACGAAAACCTGCAATATTTCGTGAGTTTTAGTAGAAAATAGAAAGGGACAAATGAAACAAATTGCTGGATTTTCTTACGTGATTCAGGTTTCTTTGGTGCTAGTTCAGTCATGCTTGTCTTGTATATAAAGGAGAAGTAAATTTCAGAATTCGAAAAATGTCACTAGTTTTTTGGATTCATACCTTTTGTAGTAAACATAATGTTAATTTGCAAGCATTTTAGGAGCTATACCTATTTGCTAGGAACGCATCTATGCCGTTCCGGTAGATCAAGCTGATAAAGTCCCCTCTTCTGTCGTTTCTTTCAGTCCGTTCAACAAATTGCGGCAAGTATTCATGCCAGCCTTCAGGTAGGTCCTGCCCAGTGATGAACGAGTATTAGTTCATATTGACAATGAAATTTGATATATTAGAGTTTTTCGGCAGCACTTTAGATAAATAGCATTTGGCAATTGTTAACTTATATTCCCAGATTAAAATTTTCATAATGAGTAATAAATGAGTAAATCTTGAGCACCTGAGACTGAGGTTCTGGGTCCCAGTTTCCAATGCAGTCAAGCACAAAAGCGCCATAAATTCGTTCCATGCCGAGCTCCTGCTTTAGCACTCGAGGTACAAAGTCCTTCACAAACATCATTGACCCCTGCGTGCCTGCGAAGTGAAGTACAGAACATTTGTGATGTGGGGAAGGAAGAGATTAGCTTGCGTATATTATTAAAGTTTTAAAAGAATTTCCCGAAAATATGGTGATCAGTTCAAACAGAAAAATTCGTCGGCAATTTATGTTAGGTTTCATAATGTGGATTGTTAATTAAGTGCACTGAAGTTGGATGTTAAGTTTTACCATTCACCTGTAACTTGAACCTGATTATTGTGGGTTTTTCTGTGTAACTTCAAAAGTCCTCACCCATTTCCTCCAAATCGAACGCCACAAAGACAACAGTGTTGTCGAACTTGCACCCAGAAGTGGCGATCATTCTAGCGGTCTCCATGAGAGCAGCCATGCCGGAGCCGTTGTCATCGTATCCTGGGGAGCCCACGACGGTGTCGATGTGAGCGCCCACCACCACGGGTCTGTCGTGGGGCGTCTTGAACCGGGCGCCGGGTAGTAGGGCGATCAGATTAGTGCCTTCTAGCCTTTCACCAACCTGTAGTTACGAGGATTAGGGTTACTTTCAAGCAGAGGTTACTGCACTAATTTCGCTTCGGTTTCGTAAAGAGCTTTTTGGAGAATTGTGCAAAATGTAGGACAGTTTTATGGTATCAGCATGCGTGTTTGACTGTCGTATTTATCTAAGATTATTGTCACAACAACTCAGACCGAATGAGCGATAATTTATTATCTCATCATGGCTTTTTACGAATTTTATTGAATCCCTAAATTTACGATGTCACCAATTTCTTTTAATTATTTCAGCATGTTTTTTAAACAATTAAATTTAAAAAACGAAAATGCGGGAAGAAATCTTCATTACTATTCGGCTGATGGCTTCAATATTTAAATCGTTTTTTTTTCTAGTAGAAGTAACTTCAATTTACCATAAAGTCAGTTTCGTAGGACGCGAAGTTGTGTTCCAGCACCAGCAGACCCAAGTCCTCTAACTGACGCCTGACGTAGACTCTCACAGCCGTTGCGTTCTGCTTGTCCACGACTGCTCGCAAGTGTCGCATTTCATAAGCAATGTCCGGGCAGTTTAAAATCGGAAATTAGGAGTCGGTTTCAGGCTAAATGAGTCGATGGATATTGCCTATAATATTTACATTGAATTAGAAAGAATATAGTACCCAGTGAAGGAAATAGTATCAAAATGAGTCTGAATAAAAGCACAAACCAAATTGTCGAATGGAGTGGGAATGTGTAATGCTATCCGTAAAATTAAGTCATCTAAGTTACATAAAATACACATCTGTATTGACTGATTCGTATACAATTTTCCGAGCTGCTAAGGTATCTTTATTATGTGTTACCTTGCCAAGATTTATCAAAACTTATTTGTTCAAATATTCGTCCCATTCAAAAAGTTGCTTTATAAAAGCAATTAGTGGTATAATTAAACCGAGATTATCGTACGTTGGTTGCGCGGCACATTGAAGACACTGGTGGTCAAGTGTCGCAGGTACTCGTGCGACGCCTCCATGGGTGCCAGTCTGCGCGCTGCTCTGCGCGGCTCCGTCCGCACAAAGCGCCGCACGATGCCTTGTACGGCGGACGGCACGTATTCGGAAGCAAGATCTTCCACCTGAGCTTCAACCATGACTATTAGTTTTGTTGCTAGACTAATATTCAAGATACTCTTAGTGATTTATGACCTGTGTACATACAAATAAACAAAAATTGAATATAAATTTCAGGCCACACCAAGCCTATTCCTCAGCGCCGGCAACACTAAATGAAAAATTTAGATTTACGCGGAATAAAACTGGTATATTATTTAAATGTTAATTGAAAGTAATTTTCTTGAAAAACGTGATTCTCATCAAAGTATAAGAACATTTCGATGCTTTTTCGTTTTCCAGTTCCCGAACATCAGTTATTACATGCGCCGAACCTTAGGCACCGTCTCTTCGCCCATGTAGTTCCAGAACGCCTTGTACGCGTCCAGGAAGAGCATCATCTCGTCGAACTGGTCGTCCGTGGGCTGTAGCGTGACCACGGCGCTCTGCAGAGGTCCTGCCAGCATAGTTTGCAGGAGCTCTTGCCCCTCAGGAAGCAAGGGGTGGCTCACGTTGCGCAAAACTGCTTCCTGGTCGGCGGAGAAAGACACATTATTTGTTCCCCGAAGAAAATCATCGAATGAAAAGTCGCATATTTTGCTTCTAATTTTTGTTATAGAAAATTATGATCTGCTACTTTAAGATTTGCATGTGCCAAAATAATTCATTTTTATGTCATTCCTGATATTTTAAATTGGAGTGATTATTTTATGCCTCTACTTCTATATAGTACTCTGAACTAATATTCGTCTTTTGATTCATTCCCTCGCAGAAAACTTTCGAAACAAAATCAGTTTGCTAAATGTTCCCCAAGACCCACCACAAAAGCAGACCGCGTGTAGGGATTTTCCAGACGGCTAGGAGGGCTCGGCAGGTCTCCTTCTCCAACGCCAATTTTCTGAATAGGATGTGAGGACGAATAGGCGATTTAAGTAAATCAAAACAATCTTACATGAAGTGGAACATTTCCCCGCCTTTTCAGGTGTCTATATGTTGTATATATTTTCAAGTAGATTGCTTAGATAAGATAACTTTTTTCTTTCAATCAGGATGTTACTATGAACCTGACCTATTTCAGTCAGGAAACAAAAGTCACCTATTTCAACACTCCTTTGCTCATCATGGACGGCAACAATTACCTTGAATAATTATGTTTGAACACGTTAGAACTTCGTTTCACCTGCATCGTGTCCTGACTCATCCTAAGCGTGAACGTTGATGTGCTGTGTTGGTCAAAAATAGAAGTCAGTCCGTAATGCTCAGCTCGCCGCAGGTTGATCGGGTCGCTTAGTTTCGAGAAGTCGAGCTCGAGGCGACAGCACGCGGGACAGATGAGTGACAGTAACACCGATGTTACAATCAAACCTGTTGAAATATAATTAGATCCATTAATAATATATGTGGACGAGCGACATTTCGTCAATTTACTGATAACCACGATCTGGTCTTTCACACATACATTTAAGTTAGTAAATAAATGATTGAAGTGTTGACAGTAATTTTATTTTCGTCATTTCGAGTCACCGACATGTGGAACAGCCTCCCATGATAGCATCGCTGACGCTCCGAGTATGAACACCTTCAAGAACAGACTAGACGAAGCTATGCATGAGCATATGTTCAGTCTTAAAATGCCTAGCAAATTACGGACCAGGCAATAAGTCCAGCACCTATCTCAATCAATCGTCAGCTATAGAAAGATCGGGTTCCAAAGGCTGGATCCCTTGGGAAGTCACGAAAAGTTCAAGAATCGGCAACAGGCCATGGGCCTATTTCTTCAATGCCGACACTTCTATTATATTCTACTCTATTATATTATATTATCATTGCTGTTGCCAGTTTTCGAGCCTATTTATTACAACATAGACACAAATCCTTCACGTATTGTGACCTGTTGCCAAACAGGCCGAGCAGGATGTGAGGTAATGGCCTGCAGTGAAGTTTCAAAAGTTACAGTGCATGAATGTGCGCTCGCCTCTCAAAGTGCAAAGTTTCTGAATTGATTTAGTCTAGTCTATTAATTTTTGAATACTCGTTGGGAAAAGCGGTTACTGCAAAATGACTAATACCTGTCCAGAACTTTCCTTTGATGAATTCAATTAACGACGCCTAAAGAGACCAGCAAGGCCAAGTAATTATCTCTTATATTATTAAACGAACACTTGCACGCCGTAGTCTGGATACAGATCACATCCAACGTCTTTTTCTATAGCCCGGCATTCATCGATCAAGATAATGGAGTTTGTTTTAGTGGAGCGCAATTCAGAAATGTTTACTCAGCCTAATCAGACTATGGATGACGCAAGCGGCCCGGTTGTTCTCAACTCAACGGCAATGTTTTGTTATATATTCACAAAAGCTTGTTTAAATGAGTGACTGCGCTTGTTTGAGAATGAATTGAAAAACTGAAGCGTTTTGTAAAATACTTCGTTTATGCTAAATAAAACTTGATCATTTAAATATCTCAGATTATAAATTTCGTACATACTGAACAAGCGAACCGGCGTATAATACTCAGCCCTACTAAGGTGAGCACGAAGTATTCAAGTCAATTCTCTCATTCAGTGTTTGTTTCCATTCGTCGTTGGCCTCTAAAGTTAGCCTAAAGGAATGCATGCAAGTGCTTGTCATCGTCGCTAGACTGCAGTCGCTTCATTTCACTCTTTATTTATTCCCTATTTGAGACGCATAGTAGTTTTAGGTTTACATGACTAGGCTTGTCACGTCGTTCGTAGAGGTCATAAGATTTAGATTAACAACGGTAGATAAATTTATTGTATTTACAGACGTAATTCAAATGATTTAAAACCATGATAATGTGCACATCATTTTTTTCTTGTTAGTTTCCGTTAACGCCAGAAGCTCGAGAGTTGACCTGCATGCACAACATCCGTTGAAAGTGAGAGCGATTCGCTGCACGTGTCAGGTCACCTGTCGCTCTCTTCCTCTTTTACTTTCAGCTGATGAAATTAGTAGCTCAGTCTTTCGTCGGATGTCAATATTTTTTGCTGATAAGCTTTTACCTTTAATTTCATTGGATACGGAACTAACGGAACTAAACGCTGGAACTAAGGCTATTCATACATGTTTTTCCCAGTCTTGTAGAATTATATCGCACATGCTTATATAATATCATCATTTTTAAATTAATTATATCGGTCACGATGGCCAAGCTGAAAACATACGTGCAAATTATATTTATGAATAGTACTGAAGCTTTAAAAGAGTAAAATGCAATGACATCGCCGTCTCATTCGCTGCAGCATGGGCTGCGAAAAATTAGAAGTTTAATTGAGACGAGAATGTAATTAAGTTTCATTTGGCCATGAGGAAGCTGTGTGCGAGACTTGACTCAAATAAATAGACATGACGTTAAATTTCTGAGCGCTTATTGTTGCAGGCTGATTTGTTTGGAAGACTGCTATGCTATTTAACTTGTCTTGTCATCCCTTATGAACATTAGTAAAACATTATTTTCAGTGTTTGTTTGGATAAAAAATTGGCTGGTGAATTACTTACCTAATAAAGAAACGTTGATGTTATAAACGTAGAACATTTTCGCCATTGTGTTGCTGGTTCGGCTGGACTCGGATGGGACTCGGTATCTGAAGAATCGATTAGGGCGTTCGTTGACGTTCGCTTACATTAAATTATTTCTTTAGTTTTTACTACAGAATTTTTAACATATCTGCCACTATATAGAGGTATAAATGATCATCATAATGGCCTTCTATACACCTGCTCCTCGTATGAGAGCGAGGCACCTGTAACCTTTGCAACTGTGCAAGGCACTCATACCAATTCTGTCACTCTAAAACACTGGAATAGCTTTTGCTTCGTTGAATTTCGAGGTGCTAATTAGCAATCGTTTATAAAAAAGGCTCGAAGTGGTCTTAAAAATACCTGCGGATAAGGGAAAATTGGGGTTTTAATAAATAGTATGAAATTCAATGAAAAAATTGTTCTCGATTGATTATTGTGATCGCGTGGCATTAAAAAAATTCTAAAATAATCATAGGCAGGAAACGTTGATCTCCCCTCCCTTCTGTTCACCGTTTTTTTTATGCAGATCGTTTGTCCTTCGAAGAAACGCAGACGAGTCTCGGTCCGGGGATCCCCGTCTTGCGAAATATATTTCGAGAAATCTTCTTCAAATTTCGCTTAGTTGCTACAAAAGAAAAAATTCCACTTGCGATGAAAACTACAAATGCGAGATCATCTCGCTGAAACGCGTTATGTGGCCCGACATTGTTTATTATTAACATAAATTGGTCGGTCTTAATTTTCAATTTCCGACAACTATCGTACACAAATTTTATGCATCGCAAATTCTTGTAATTGCAGCTCATTACTGTGATGCTGGAAAGAACCAAATATGGTCATGGTTTATTTTCTGCAATCTGTGAATGTGAAGGCCTTGTGTGAATCCTCTGTTACCCCATGGACACATTTTAATACAATATGAGGATGACGCGCAATCTTTACAAGTTTTTTTCGAGGTTAATTCCTCATTCTTGAGTGCGATTTATGCTCATCTTTTGAAAATATTACCATATAAATACAAAAATTACATGCTTCAAATGCAAATATAATATAGGTTTTCTTATATATGCGGACGTAGCTGACGTACTGGAAACTGTAGCATTATCTCATCTCGCCAACAATTTCGGTTCAGATTGTAAATGAAAAGTATGGATGATTCAGATTTTTCATGATTTTCAATAAATAATTGGCAGCTTATTGAAGTATACGTATCCTCATGGTTTATACAAGGTCCCCGAAGGATTACTAGAATTTGAAACCAGAAGCAACACCAGGGGCCCCGGCTATAGACTAAAAAACTCGTCGTAACTCATCCACGCGACAAAATTTCTTCTCGCTTCGAGTCACCGACATGTGGAACAGCCTTTCCGATTCTATCGTTAGCGCTCCGAGTATGAAAGCGTCCAAGAACAGAATAGATAAAGCTATGGAAAAATATATGTTCAGACTTGAAATGCCTAGCACCATATCGAACCCGGTGGAAATCTAGTAGCTTTCTCAAACTATCGTCAGTGATGAAAAGATCCGGTCAACGGACCAGTTTTTAGTTCTCGTGTGGACAAGCCACGAAAAGAACAGGAATCGGCGACAAGTCACATCAGGCCATTCTTCAGCGCCGACATCACTATGTTATGTTATGTTCCGTATTTCTCATCTTATTTTCAACACGAACGATGGGTACCATGAAGTTCGCTATCGAATGTGTTGTTGGGTTTTTACAAGTTCCTAATTCTGTTTGCTGTCAATTTCAATTGGATCTTTGATGGTCGAGTTCTCCGCGGTTTAATTCAAGACGAGGAAACAAAAAACTGGATATTGATCGAACCTTGGGTAAAGTCAACCAAGTCATTCATAATGAAATGGAGCTGTTCCCGAGACCATGGTTAAACTAGTATAAGGTTTGACCCATGAGAAGCTCATTTTCGCGGATGGAGCTTGTTGTTTGCCTGTGACGTCACTGATCTCAGTGACGTCACGGGCATCAACTAATCACCGAAATGTGTTCAAACCAGTCAACCAATCCGTCATTGGAATGACGGGTTTGTTGACGTTTCTGGATCTCAGTGACGTAACAAAAAAGCTGAACTGAATAAGGCGGAACTTCACCTGGGTCAACCTCATATAGTTCAACCATGCCCGAGACAACGTGCAAAACGTGTTAGTTTTTACTCAATCCTGTCTCAGCTGAATATTAAACCTAACGTTGAGATCATAAGTGGAAAAAGTTATTTATTTATGAGCCAGCAAAACCTTTATACAGTAAAATCCTTTTTTATAAAAGCTGACACAACGGGGGGACAAATTTTGTAATCTATTAAATCTAACATAGAGATCATACGTGGAAAAAGTTATTTATTTATGAGCCAGCAAAACCTTTCCACAGAAAAATCCTTTTTTATAAAAGCTGACACCAAATTTTCTAATCAATGAAGATAGCCTCTCTTTCCCTCGCTTCCTCATCTCCTGACCAATTCTGACTTATGATATAAAAGTTTTAATAATTGTGAATAAAGAAATCGATGTTTGAGTGTAGAGGATTAGAGTCAGTTTCGTCACTTGCCACCGCGTACTCGTCAACGTGCACCGCACACGTCTGACCGCTGCGAGAGTCAGACCCGCATTGACGTTAAGCGGTCTGCGCGCCTGAACCTGCTGGTGCAGGGGCGATGCAGACAAGGTCAGGCGACGGAGGTGCGTGACAGGCGCGTATGGGACGGTCAGAAACGATTTAAGCTAACTCGCTTTGATGTCACATTTGCATAATCATCGCATGCGCTTTCCGGCCTCCTCTTACAATACATTGAAGGCTGATGCATTTCACGCATGGCACATGTAATTTGTTCGCGGCTATTCGCGTGCACGGCCTGACATATGAATAAAATAGTTTTTTTTTCGCTCTTCCACGCTGTCGAGTTTCTAATACAATGCAATTCTGTCCACTGAAGGTAAATATCATCACCAGGCCTTGAGATATAAACATATTATATCATAACATAATATGATATAATAATATTATTAATATGATATAATATAATATATGATATAATATGTATCTTATAAACATTATATTACGTTACATATTATATATTATATTATTAGCCAAAACGGTAATGCAACTGCTGGGTCAATACCGGGAAGAGGATTAAATATTGAACCCGTAAAAATCCAACTCGTAAACGGTTTCATTTTTTGGTTATTGGTGATTACAATATCTGATAATCCTATTCACAGTATGAATATAATTTGTCTCAGAGAACCGCATGAGCTGGTTCCCACAATGGAGAAGCAAATCTAAATACTAGTTTTATTATTGACTTTCAATTCTGCCCAAATTGTTATTGGAGAGAATTTATATCAATATATTCCATCCATATGTAAATCGTAAAGCAGATTTAGGGCTTCAAGTGGATACTCGATATTTAAATATTGTAACTATAAGTTTCCTTTTGCCCTGATATCGTCACGTTTAAAAGAAAACATGAAAAGAAAATCCGTAACAAAAACCAAACATCAAACAATGTGTGAAAAACATCTGAAGTGAATGGATTTAAGGCACAGCTGCGCTTTATTACTGGTTTCTATTAACGCTAAGAAATACAGTGAACATTCGACTGTTTCATCACCGCCTGAGGATGTGGAAAGAGTCATTTTTTACGCGGTGCCAAACACTGCCGAGCTTCCGCGCGCCCACATTCACTGAACAGATATTTTTATGACAGGTAATGAAAGCAAGCTTTGACTCTGTTGCGAAAAATAATCTAAAACCAGATTATTCATCAAACGAAGTTCCCAGAATTTTGTTCCCAAATTTTTGTTTTGTCTCTCCTCATGAGAGACGACTTATTCAATATGCAGTACATGTATCATATTCAATCGGGAATTGCTCGAATTGTTATAAGGAAGGAGGAAGAATGCTAAATTCGTGTCAAATACGTTGTTGGGAGAAGAGGTTATAATGAACCTCGCTTGCGTGCTCGTCGATACACGACACGTCATCGTATCCCAGTCAGAGGAGCCTAACTGGGAGCTGAGGCTTTAGAGCGATGATTAATTCTCAGGAACACATTTATTTCCTGACGCCTTCGAAACTCGAGTAACTATATCGAGTGTTGGGAATGAAATATTGTTCTTATTATATTTAAATGTCAATTCGACTTTGGCGCAGAATTCTTTGAACTTTCATGACTTCAAAGTTGCACCTACAAATGATGTACTTGGCCTCCGATCGTTACAAAATATTTAACTTTCCGTAGGTCGAAGTTTTACTTCCAAGTTACAAAGCATTAATTTTCCAAGTATGCGGTAAAAACTAATATATAAACGAATGTAAAAACTATAAAAACTATTCGATTTCTCTATTTTACTCGTCGTTCTATTTAAGAAATAATTTATTTATTTTTCATTTGAGTAATAAAATTGCATCAATCAACTATAAATAACGTCGCAAGCTCATTCAAGAAGAGGCAGCCTAGCATCCGTATTGCATAGACCCTGTATTTCATGATCAAATGTTTAATCGGCCTTCTTGCAATGATCAAGTTAAATTAGCTATGGAATAAAAACTCTAAGTTGATGTGATATTATACGCCTATGGAGAGTCATCGGTCAAAATCATATATCAAACGGCGTTGATTATCTTCAAACATTTGGTATGTTCATAGCATTTTTTACCTCGCTTTTCAAAGTTAACCTTGCGAACAAAAGGAACAATATTTGTTGGATAGAGCTGGTATATAACCTCATACTGTGAGTTGGCGAGATATAAATATAGATTTTATTAATTTATTTGAAAAACTTTGAAATTAATTGCAGGAAACATGCAGATTTCACTCGGCCAACCAACTGAACAAATTATACGGAAAGTGACTCATCACGTATTATTAATAAACCTTCATTCTCCATACGTGAAAAAAACACAAGAACTTTCATAAAATGGAAGACAATTACTAGTATATCTACACGGAATTGAACTTCAAACATATAAGATACCATATTGATGTTCGCTTATAAATAGCATTCGTAAACGTCAATGTTCACCTATATGAGCTTTAACATTCAATGCCACAATAAACAAGACTCTTTACCATTGCTGCATGAAACACATGGTGTGAAATTTTCATTGTTTAGACTCTTGAGTTTCAACGTTTTTATCTTAAAGCTAATCAATGCCGGTCTTGTATTGCTTAATTAAAGCAATAATTAATTTAGTGAACCATAAAATCATCATTGTGAAAACAGATAAGAATACTGACAGCCATGTTAACTTTTTAGGCATGCTCATGGGCGCATGCGTCTGGCCAGTATGTAAGGTATTTAGATGCTGTGTAAGTGGTGCCCATGCCACGCTGCAAGTTACATCAGTGAAAGGAAAGTCCGGGACATTAAACCAGCGTGGGCGAACTTCTAGCCTCTAGCAGGACACATTTTTCATGTCTGCATAAATTGCTTTGAG